CACAGGAATGTTTGTAGCTGAGTGAAGTGACCTGAAAGTGCGTGGGAGCAATAATATGAGCGGGAACAGTTCTCCAGTGCTTTCAAAGAGGATACACTGGACCACATATTACGAAAGGAAAGGTGGTAAAGTGTCCCATCAGACATGCTTACAAAATGTGTTTTCCATTTCACACCATGACCTCTTGATGTGTTTTGAACCTTTGCTGACAGACTGATAAACCCGCTGACGGTTATGCTGCTGTGATAAAATCAGCTTATTATGAAGATAAGATAAGATAAAACTTTACTAATCCCTCGGGTGGGTTCCTCTGGGAAATTCGGTATGAAGTTGTTTATTTAAAAATAAAGATTATGAGACATTAAGTTTCTGTTAGTGCTGTCTGCTGCTGTTTTTAAAATCATAATTACTTAATTTGAGCTCAGTCATAGAAGGCCTTAATAAAGGCAGCAGTCACACTGGATCGGCTCTCTGGCAGGAGCAGAAATATAAATAAACAGAACAAACACAATCAGTTCAGTTTACAAAATTAAATTTAAAAATTACAATCTTGGTAATGAAGTAATATTTATCACTGATGGTTCTGTCACATGGTATCTGAAATGAGCTCTTTACGGTCTGTCGTCAGGATGCTGTAGTTTGAGCACAGCAAACACACGTCTCGACATCTGTCGTGGCTTTAAAGTCGTTCTCTTGGTTCTCGTTTCCCGTGTCCTCATTAAGTGCTTTCGTGCTGTGGTTAGGAAGGAAATACACAGTTAAATCCATAAGTATTTGGACAAAGACAAATAATAACTGCAGTTTTTCAGTGAGAAGAAAAACCAGGATGTTTAATACTTCTGCGCTCTCTCGGGCCACTTGGTATTCCTGAACTGGACATTCCTGGATGTGGACTGTTTGAGTGAACAGTTACTAATTGCGAATTAAACACTTGGAATCATCTCTGTATTTTTGTTTGTTTTTAAATCTGCTTCATCTGGCCAAGAAATGGCTAATATTCTTTTTACAAATGGTTGCAATTTCAAAACAATTAATGCAACACTTCTGTTGAATTGCGTTAAAGTGGACTATTTTCAATCCGATCTCACTCTAACATCTGCAGTGCAGTGTCACTTCCTGTTCCTGTTAGAAAACACGTGGGCCCTTTCTCAATTCTCAAGTACACGAGTACGTACTCGCGTTCTCGGCGGGTACGTACTCGCCGAGAACGCATGGGAGTACGGACTCGCAGAGAATGCGAGCACGGACTCGCGATTTGTACAATTGGAACACCAGCGTACTTGATGATGTCACAGGTCCGGAGTTTTTACTGCC